GTCATGATGGGATAAGTCAAGGTGCGAATAGTACTTTCAAATTTTCGACAAGTTGTTGCTGAATATATCAACATGAGTATCATTCGCCTCAACTTCTCGAAAAGGGGGCAATTGTTGGTACACTAGTTGGGCGGCCTGGACTACATTCAAAAATGGTTGACCATGGCAATCAATGACACATTCATTAGGATTAATGCTAGCTAATTAAATCTGGGCAGTTTTATGTATATAATTAGAGTAGTTATTGTAATTATGACATAGGTTACTCAAAGGGCTGACCAGAATTGATGATGCAATAATGACGATATTGATGTCGTCGTAACGGTCGGACATGTCGTCGTAACGGTCGGAACATGTCGTCAACGGACAAAAGTGCATTAAATGTATCTCTTATAAATATCTAGAGGCTCTATGTAATCAAGACATTCAGACACGAATACACAGACACTCAGTTACGAATACACACAAAAGAGTTCTCCTATTCTCTCTATTGAAGTTCATAGATATTCATATTATATTCAAATTATCGATTATAGATAAATCCATTTATTTTATCTTGTCAATCATTCTTATTCGATCTTATTTGCTTGATTCCCAACTCAATTCCATATATATTTTAGATTAGTTTATTTTGGCATAAACACTATGTTCTATTAAAGCAACTAATTTGTTGTTCTGCACATTTCCCTCTCCTCTACATTACTACATAAATTTCAACTACACATTTAGAGGAACGAGAATTAGTTCGATCCAATGTATAGTTATTGAGTTCATGCCAAGATTGTACTAAAAACTAAAAAGTACTCACTCGTTTAGCTTATTCTTATTCTTAGTCAATGAGGGTTAAGTTTGACAAACAATATTCTCTCCATCCTGAATTTTAGGCACTTTACTGTTAACGATTTTTGAGTGACTCAAATTATTTTTAGAAAAAAAATTACATATTTAGAAACTACATAAAAAATATACGAAGTGGCAAACACTAGAATCAAATTTGATAAAAATTTGATATATAAAGTAAAAGATTAAGAGTAATTTGTTTTACTCAAGTGAATAGGAAAAATATCTTACAGAGTGGGACTGGGGGAGTATATTTTAATACAAAATATTTAAAATATGAAAATTATATGTACATATTCTTTATTTAAAATATCTTTTATGAAACCAAAAAAATTATAAAGCACACTCAAATATAATATCTAAACTCATTGTTAAACTTTAATATTATTTCATTACAAAAAGACAATTTGACCATTTCTGGGACATAGGTAATTCAAAATTAGATCATATTAAATTTTTTTTAGAGTAAATCATGACTAATATTAACAAAATTCATGTGATTTCCTAAACTATTACTTCGTACTAATTATATTTTTTCCCCTACAATGATGCATGTTATCATCCATATGATTAATACTCACTCCCTATTTTGTAGTGACAAATTTGTACTTCACCTTTATTGATTGGTCCTATTTTTGTGTCACATAATTTGGTCATGCATCACATCAAAAAACATGTATTCATATTTTGAAAAAAAATTGGGGTCCGCATCCGCTAAATCTAAGTTTTCTTCTTCCATATGTAAAAAAGGAATAAAAAAAATCCATTGGTTCATAACAGTAAACAAATTCTTAATCAAAAATACGTAAAACAACCAATAATTTAGATTTTATCAATATATTAGGAACTCAATTGAATACGCCCCTTTAACTCAGTGGTAGAGTAACACCATGGTAAGGCGTAAGTCATCGTTCAAAAGGAGTCACATATAAGAGCTGCGAACCCTACTATCATCATACTTATGTCTGTTATGTGCATTATTAACCACCGAGTTTGAGTAATACTTCTATTAGAGTATTTTCCCCAAAATTTTAATATAAAAAGAACATGCTTCAAGTTTGAACAACTATTTCCTTATGTACAAGTCCGCATACTTCTATTATTCTTTTGAATCTTAGACCACAACATTGTTTCCAAGTGTTCTTATATAAATGGAATTTTGTTGATTTGGTCTAGTCTTACTTTTTTTGTTTGGCCCCGTTTTCTATGATTTAAATTTTATTAGTAGGATGAATTCATCCATAATTGTGTAAAACAATCCATTATTTATTACTCGGGAAAAATATTTATTATCGCTTCAAAAAAAAATTTGTTCAAGTCATTCATAAAACTTGTTTACAAATTAAAAAAAGAAGATCAATTTTGCCATTAAATTTTGAAATTCACTCATCAAAAACTTAGTTAATTTATAAGTCTTATAATATAAAACCTTAAAAATTTAAATTGTACTCCCTCCTTCCCCAATTAAGTTTCCCGTTTGACTTCACACATATTAAGAAAATAAATTTGACTTTACTGTAGAGTGTACGGTTTTGCACTGTTCAAAGACTGTTTGACATTGTTTGCACACTGTTTTTCACTGTTTGGATGTAGATAATTTGCCAAATAAGAAAAGTATTGAAGTGTGAACTTAATTTAGAGACTGCCAAAAAAGGAAAGTAGAAACTTAATTGGGGAACGGAGTAAGAAAATATGAAAATAACAAGAATAGACATTTGAATACAATTAAATAAACATACTCCATCTCTCCAACTTAAAAGGTTGTCACACAATCTACAATATTCGACTGACCATAAAATTAACAGTTCCCTGTCAATAATAAGATTATTTGTAGTAAATAAAATTTACATATTTATAAACTACATCAAAAGTTTTATAAAATTATAAAAAAATCCAATTTGATAAAAGTTAAATTTATAAATACATTAAGTGAAAAGAGATAATTAATTAAGGGTATTTTTGGAAGAAAATTAGGTTATCTCTAGGAATGTCAGATAACCTAAGGCGTAGAAGAGTTTAATATCCCATTTATATTACATTCCCGGAAATGTAATTTTCCTGATTTTTTATCAAACTCATGAACCAAACATGAGTATCTAACGTGTATCCCATTTAGGCTTGGCCTCGGTTCGGGCCGCCCGGCCCGGGACCGGCCTGACCCGCCACTGAGCGGGCCCAGCCCAGCCCGGTTTTTCGGGTCCGGGTCCGGTTCGGGCCGGAGGCCCGGGGGTGGGGCGGTTCCGGGCTCAGGTCCTATTTTGGGCGGCCCAGCCCAGCCGGTTCGGGCCCGGCTCCGGGCCCAATCTATTTTTTTTTTTAATTTTTTTAATTTTTTTTGGGCTGTTGGGCTTGGGCTTGATGTTTAAGACCGGTTTGGAGGGTTTGGAGGGGTAGGGGGTGAAGGGGGTGGGGAAGAAAGGAAAAAAAATAGCCAAACCGGGTGGCCCGGCCCGGAACCAGGGACCACCGGTCCGGGCTCGGGCCCTGCAGTTGGTGAACCGGGGCTCGGCCGGTTCAAGGCCCGAACCGGGCCCGGCCCGGCCCGAGGCCAGCAATAATCGCATTCTCACCTTCATGTGAGATCACCTCAAAACCTCAAACCAAACATGCCCTAAATGATGCAAGATTATCAGCACCCCATTATTGCAAGAATTTGAAAATGTTGACTCTTGGATAATGTTTTTTTACCGACAGTAGAGTGGGTCCTACTTTCGAGTTCAGCTATGGCCCTGCCGTTGAGGTATGCAGAAATGGTCCGGTGACTATGTCCGGTTGTTTAGCGAAATATATGACTAATATGAGAGGTAGAACTATTAATTTTTCATTTGGCCTTTCCGATTTATGAAAAAGGTGGTCTTATGGTGAGCCAGAAAAACAGGTCAGGGGGTCGAAAATCAAGTATGTACAAAATAAAAATGGTAGATCGTTTTTAGACAATGTCCGAGTTGAATATTTAATTTGTAGTTTAGATAAAAATGCATTCGTAAGCAATAAAATAGATTGTTTTTGCTCTGTTTCGGAATCATGTCACGTAAGTAACGAGTTAATTATACGTTATTTATAAAATTTGGGAAAATAATCAATATTATGCATCAAATTTTGCTAATTTTACGTTTAGATAGTGCTGATTTTCCAGAAGTCATAACTTTGTACTCGTAATGAGTTACGGGGGCCATAATATATCAAATCGAAGATATTTCAGAGCTCTATACTCTCAAACTTTCAGCGGGGTCGGCTGACCACCCTGACCCCCCTTGGCTCCGCCCCTGCTTATGGTTTTATCCGTTAATGCGTTAATAACCTAATAGGATGGTGATGGTTTTAGAATCTTAATCTCATTATCTTTCCTATGAAGGGATTAAGGTGCTGATAATGATATTCTTAAACTACTGTAGATGCTTAATGCTTTGGTCCATTAAAATGCCATTTTTGCTTTTCTTCATCATAGCGTATTTACTTGCGTTCAGTGACTTCAGTCTTACACTCTTACTTCTCTATCATATATTCATATCTACAGGTAAGAAGGTTGAGAATGTAACCAATCTTTCCCACAAAATTCTTATGGAGATGATATATTATTATGTTTTCTCGGGCAATATCCATTTCATTGAAATGCAAATGTCAATTCTGACTTCTTAAAAGTGGTAGAGCTAAAAAGCATAGAAAAACACTATTTGTACCCACTCTTATACCCACAAATGTTAGATGCTATATTGTTGTCTTGAATCCAGTTCACATAATTTACTTTTGTCTGTGCAAAACTAGACACGTTTTGTCTGTGAACGAGATTCACAGACAAAAAAAAACCTCTCACATCAAATGGTATAAGGGTGGGTACAAATAGCAGGGCTGAAAATACTAGGGCTCAAAACTTAGCACAATATCAAAAGATCAGGTCGTTTTTGAGACAATATTTGAGTTGAATAATTCATATGTAGATAGAATAATTCATATGTAGATAGAATAATAGGGACTAAAATACAATTATGAAAAACATAGTCCTCTTGACAACATGTTTAAGCGCATAACTCTACCACTCTCGGGCGGAGCCAGGGGGTAACAGTGGTCAGCTGAACCCTAAATGTTTGACCATATAGAGCACTCAAATATCTTTAATTTGAATTATTCAACTCAAATATTGTCTCAAAAACGACCTGATCTTTTAATATTGTGCTAAGTTTTGAGCACAAACAGTAACAAGCAACACAGATCTGATAAAAGGATAAGGAAGATGATGTTTATTGATAGGAATAGTCTCAACTTAGGCAACAAAGGCAACCGGGACTCTTAGGCAACAAGGCAACATTCAATCAAATAACAGTCTACCTATTATGGCTACCCCAGCTTCTATTTATAGCAAAAGTCCACGCAGGGACTAAATAGACAACTAAATAAGCTAGAGGCACTTAATAAGCTATTTAACTCCCCTAACCCCCTTATTTGCATTCAGCAAAATGGGTCTGCTTGCGTGTTAATCCTTGTTTGCTTGCGTGTTAATCCTTGTTTGCATTCCACCCTTTTCCTGACTTCATGATAATGTTCCATATATTTTCCAGCCTTTTCTCCCAAAGCAGTAGTTAAGGCTTGACTAAAATCCAAGGGAAAATGTTGAGACGGGCTGATTAGTGCGTACTTGGCAGAAAGTACCAATTTGCAAACACCCACATCAAGAACCAGAAGTTGGTAATTTTCAAAACCAGGTTCCAAGCTTCTCTTCCCCAGTTTTTCTACAATTTCTGACATATGTCGAGGCTGGAAATTTTCTTTCGTGCCACTTGCAATTTGAAAAATGTCATAAAAACTGTCAACAGTATTAACTTTACCCCTTACTAACATCCCCAGCTTGGCCTCAGATTGAGTGAACACTGATTCTTCAATTGCAATATTCTGTGGATGCACCCCTGACTTCGCCAAGGCCCCCAGGACTATTACCACGCTGTCAACCACCATAGGCTTATTCTGATTTTCAGCATAAGCAACACCCTCCTCCATCCCTCTTCTATTAGTAAGTGTGTAAACCATGTTATCAAAACCTACACCTCCATTTAGCAAAAGAATATAAACTGGTGTCATTCCCCTAGCATTTTCAGCAACCATTTTGGCATCAAGGGTAGTCCCCGAGCTAACATAAACAGCAGCAGATTCCTTTTCTTCATCAGTTTGCCATTGTGATCGTGGCCTCCTGTCAACCAACACCTTGGAATCTTCAAAGTAGCGATCTAACTGTTGATTTGGAATTCCCAGAACCTCCCCAACTATATCCCCAGAACCAATACATGCCTCGTGATCAACATATTTCTTCAGAATGTTTCCCTTATCTGCTTTCTCAATTTCCTTTATACAGGTAGTCCAGGCACCCAAATCCAGAGAAGTGGTTCTCACAATGTTCCCTAACGGTTCCTCTTCCTGAGATATGGCAATATCGTTTACTGACTGGTGCATTTTGGTAACCATCTGTATCGTGTCTGATTTTAATTCATTTTTTAGGACATTGGTGAATGCCACATCTGTCATTCTGCCCTTAACTTCTTGTATAGAAGCAGTGGAAGATGTAGCTTGAGATCCATCTATTTGTTTAGTGACATTAAGGATTTCCTGCTGAACAGATTCTGTAAAATTAGTTGTACCTGATCCTTCCGCAGTATTTGCACCAGCAATTTTATCATCAAAGGCTGGATTCACCACAGACGATTTCTTCTCTGGTCCATCATCATCAATGAATTTAACCTCAGATGGAAGTTGCCGCTGAATGACTCCCTCATGTCGGACTGCTGGAACCTGCGCACCGTGAGATGCGAATTGCAAAAGGGCAGGCGAACTGGAATATCCTGTTAGCGAAGATGCTCGCGTACTGGGAGAAGGGGTTTGCGGCTGAGATGAAACCTGCAAACTCAGCGAAACTGATAGTGGTGAACCTGAACTGCGAAGATCTTCTCGCGATGACGACTGGTGACGAACGCCGAGAGATGGCAAACTAGGGAACTCTGTTCGCGGTGAAGCTTGCGAACTGGGAGCAGTTGTCGTCCGCGAAGGAGTTCGCGACTGAGAAAACCGAGAAGAAACCTGTGACGGGGAACTGGGAGATGATGCGGTTCGCGATGATGAAATCGAAGTAATGGCCCGCGTCGGACTATGCGATGATCGAGAATGATGATGAAGTTGTGATCGTGATTTCCCCCTGGACGGATTATGTTCCATCATCGCTGCTATCGCAGTCGCGATGCTGATATGGATCTGTTCCTTCATCGCTGTCGCGAGGGTGGCCATAGCCGTCTTCATCTCCAGTTTGAGCTTATCCAAGCGAGCCTCCATTTCTGGTGTCCAGGCTTCTTCCATAGCTCCAGGGTAGTCGATCGATGATAAGTGACACTTCAATCGGATCCCCAGGAGCAGTGATGCTCTGATACCAATGATAGGAACCTGTTAATAATCTGAGCACAAACAGTAACAAGCAACACAGATCTGATAAAAGGATAGGGAAGATGATGTTTATTGATAGGAATAGTCTCAACTTAGGCAACAAAGGCAACCGGGACTCTTAGGCAACAAGGCAACATTCAATCAAATAACAGTCTACCTATTATGGCTACCCCAGCTTCTATTTATAGCAAAAGTCCACGCAGGGACTAAATAGACAACTAAATAAGCTAGAGGCACTTAATAAGCTATTTAACTCCCCTAACCCCCTTATTTAAAACTACTGATTAGGCTGATGCCTAACATACTAGAAGTAAAACATGGAGTAAGCTCAATAAATGAATAAAAGAAGTTAAACTCTTATTTTAAAAGTGAATGAGTCTTATCTTGGGAAAAAACAATGTGGTCAATTGATAAAATAAGTTTATTTTTGGTTACTTCGTGTTATGTGTATATTACATTAAGTGTTGTTTTTAATTGCTCCCTAGGCAGTCATTAGATTACAATTTTACTAGAAATACTTAGATAATGTATAAAGTCTGTTTGGATGGAGGGCATAACGTATAACTTGAAAAATCCAATGTTTCTAAAAACGAATAGGATTGAAGTATGATTTGATCACTTGCATTAATTTTTGGATTTCATAAAATCTTAAATGTACATCAAGATTTAATGTTATCCCCTCAAAGAATACCATTACCCCCCCCCCCCCCCCAAACGGAACAACACAAGAGTTTCTGTTTAGTACCTTTATGCATTTGGGTAGATCATGGTCTTTGTTTCTGGAGTGAGACTGAAACAGAAAAAATCAAGTCAGAGAATTGTAAATGAAAATTTCTATCTTTATATTTGATATTGGAACACCAGATTTTTAGATCTAGGAACAATGGTCTAAAATGTAAGTCAGCAATGAAAAGCTGCCTATGAAAATCGTGTGTAAATATCCATACAAAAGGTTATTACCTGTGTGACAAGGTTGCAAGAGGCATGCAGACCCATGGATGATAAAGTGAGGATAACTAACTCAGCAGCTACAGTTGAGGGCCAGTAATTCAAATGCTCATGGCCTAGTAGTGTCACTAGTGCCAGATATTTAACTGTCTTTTCCACCATTTCGCTAGCTCTAGCAGCTTTCAGGTAGAACCTTTCTCATTTAATGATATTAGATAGTAAGTGGCGGGGCAATGGTGATAAGAAATATAATGTGTGGTACTACTAGACAGAGAGGTTTTTTTTTTTTTGATGGTACTAGACAGAGAGGTTAACATTGCAAAAACTTCTTACCATAAGAAGTTGTAAATGGTGGGAAGGAAGCATTGGAAGTTAAGAACCTCCTGCACCACCCACTCCATAGCCACCACTTCGCTCCTGCTGTATACCTTCATTCCTACGTCGAATGTCTTATTGCGAATACTGGTGGAGTATAAATGAACAAATTGAGTGTCAGAAATTTAATTTATAATGAAATTGGGTATTTAGAAAGGCCGTTTTTATGGCTTTGCTATGATGTTACTGATAGGGAAAGATGTAAGAAGTTTGGTTTGTGATATTCGTTGCCAAATTCTTACTCCTCAATCATGGCCCACACAGTGTGATTCTTTTTTAAAAAGAACTGAATTTAGATTCAAAAGGAAAAACAGATAAGATGAGTGAGCCTAACCAGTTCAAAGGCTGATTTTCTTCAATTCTGGTTGCAAGAGTGAGGCAAGCAATTCCAGCAATTTGAAGATTATTCTCCTTTCTGAAGTAGCCTTTTGTTAAGAACCGGTCAAAGAGGTTAACTCCTAAGAACATTGTCTCCTTTTGAAGTTCTTTCTTTGTGGCTTGCTGCAAATGAAGAATTCTGGTTATGCAACCAATGAACCAAAGAGTTCTCAAAGCAAGACTAGAATTATTGTGTATGCATCTTAGACAGCTAAACTATATTACTTTTATAATAATGGTAAATGATACTCCGTATAAAAGTTGACATAATATATCTTCTATATTTTGATTCTTGCTTTCCTGTTTTTTGTGAGAAATTGCAAATGAAATGAAGCCCAAAACAAACACACAAGATGAAGTGCATCACACAGTCACGTGGCAAACTGAATACTGAAGTAGTGGAGTGGGAGGGTGAGACGATCATGCACGAAATTATTGCTTAGTTTCCGCATAAAGATTACGTGCAAACAATCAGATCTATTGGGGACCAACACATCTTTCCATCAATTTAGGTCCGATAGTTCATTTAATCACAACCACTAATTGGAATAAATGAATGATTGAAACCTGGTAATTATTATGTACTCCGTATTACCATATATATCAATTCATTTCATCACAAAAATGAAAAGTTTTGCAGGAACATGGAAGATCCAAGGAAAATTTGACTAAACTATTCATAAAATTTTAATAGACTAGTAAAAATTTAATATAGGACTAGGAAAACTTTTACTACGCATTATTTTTAATAATTTTTTTGATATAGCCTTGTAAAATACTAATAGTATGTAACATGCATACAAAACTGTTTAAGTCATATTTTAGGAATCAAATAATCTTTAAATCATATTCCTACTAATTTTCGAGTAGAGCACATGAATTATTGATCTACCTCGACAATCCAGTGGACCATCTTTAGCCGCTGCTTAACAATGAGCTCGCCGTAGCCTGTGCCCGAGCAGTACTCCTTTGCATAGTCCCGTATATACACTTGCCTTCGCTCTCTTCTTCTCAGCAACCTGTAGCTCTCTTCATCCTCATCTTCCAACCCCAACTTCACGCGCACAATGAAGTGCAGCAACATCACATAAGGAGCATGAGGTGTGCGAATAAAATGTAATCCGGCGTGATAATAATGAAAGGATACGGGAGTAATAGCATGCTTGATACTACGTATATAAAATAATGAAAATAAATTTCACTCCGGTTGATAAATTCCCACAACGGCACAATTACTTGCGAAATTTCAAATAAGAATATAAAAATGCTGGAGTCCTTACTGAAATGTCAGCGGAAATGTTGTGATCTTCCAGAGAATCTTCCAGAGAGTAGGTTGACCTGTAGAACTCTTCACTGAACTGACGGAACAACCGGAAAGTATTTGAAGGATGATCATCACTATTATATTGCTCAGAGAATTGGCTGCCGGAGTCGTACCAAATTGACGGACTATACTCGGAGCAATCCAACTCGGAACTCTCCTGGAGAGAATCCCACTGAAGCTCAGAGTACGCCGAGGAGTAGTCATCAAGGGCGTCATCGCCTTTAGATAACTGCTCTGAACATTCCAGATCAAACTCGGTTGCAAGGGAATTGTGAACGTAACCATCAGCAGATTCTGGATTAGACACCTCTTCACCAAATACTCGATTCTCAGCAAATTTGGATTCAGCAGCGGACACCAAGGCAGAGTTAAGTGATACGACATCGTTTTCTCTGAACTCAAACGCATCCTGACTTCGTTTCACCGTCTCCTTCGTGAACTTAGATGCTTCACCGGGAATTTTCATTTGACTCGAAATCTCGTTCTCGTCGATTTCATTTGCCTTCCCCATTACGCTCCCGTTGTGACTGTCAGGCTTCCTAGATTCCCTAGAGAATGAAAATCTCTCAACGCTGGAAACCTCCGAACGCACAACCGCATTGGAATCCTCAGTTTCATTCGTACTTCCACTCTTCTTCAGTTTGAACTTCAACGCGTTGCCGCCTCCAAATCCTCTAGAATTCAACTCCACGCACGAACACTCGGACAACTCCATTTGAGCATCCCTCCCCTCAGTTACACTGGATTTAGTCTTAACTGCCGAACGGCACACAGAAGATCTGCCGGAAGCGAATGAATCCTCTGCTGACAGCAGAGTAGACTGTGAAATGGACGATGAGTAGAGAACCGGAGATACCTTAGAACGACATCTGCGAGGAAGCTTCGATCGGAGATTCTTCGGAACGGCGAAATTGAGCTGTGGCTGTGAACGCAGCGGCCGATCAAGCTCAGTCGCCGCTTCTCGGGGCTGCTTCCGCTTCATTGCAGCTGAAGTTTGGTTGGATGAAGAAGGCCTGAAGTGAAGGTCTGGAGATCAATTGAAGCTGTTCCGTGTTGTTAGAGAGGGAATGGGAGAAGCGGTTAACTCTGTTCGTTGCTGACGTGCTGGAAAAGGGAGAAGATGGGAGCACATAAGAATTTATATGGTGCGATTGAGTGGGTCCACTAACGCAGTCACGATTCATGAACCGTTTTGTTGACCCTCCCGGCTGAAATTCAGTTTTTCTACATATCCGTTTTGCTTCGGCACCTTACTTTTTAATAAAAATGGTTTCCGTTTCGGTCCACAGATCTAAGATGTTTTTTTACTCAAAGTTCGATCTCATTAATTTTTTTAGATCAGTTGTTAGTTTGAGTCTTTGAGAATTGATCTAATTTTATTAAAATTAATTATGAAAAACTACAGGATATTATAAGTACTACCTCCGTCCCCAAATGTTATTCCTATATAAAGTGTCACGCGGATTAAGAAAGTGAGAATTGTGTGGTGGAGAGTTGTGCAGAGGAGTGATAAATGTTGTGAACCACAAATTCTTTGTCGAAAATGGAAAGTGAAGTTCATTTTGAGACGGACGAATAAGGAAAGTTCAAAGTAAATTTAGGAACGGAGGGGGAGTCTAATTTATCAATAAAGTTATGTAGTACTCCGTATATAATAGGAGTATACAAAAGCTAAGCTCAGTCATCTTCAACAATGTCAATAAAAAAGTAACCCCAACTAATTAATTTTGATTATTATACCTCCGTTCTTTTTAGTTGCAACATTCCATTTTTCACGTTTGCCAATGCACAACTTTGATCATCATTATATTTAATTTTGTATTTGTAAAAAGTAATTAAAAATCAGATTATGAAATTTAGTAATGAGACGAATTCAACAACATTTTTAAAAAAAAAAAAATAATTCACACATTAATAAATAAAATGTAGTCAAAGTGGAGTACATGAATAATGTATAAATTACAATGTTGCAATTAATGCGATATGGAGGATACTATAATTTTGCGTGCATAATCAAAAGATACATACATACGATAAAAAATTTAATGAAAAGACTGAAAAATAAAAAATAGGAATTATTAAACGGGCTCTTAACTTGATTGGTCAATATTGTGTGAACTTTATTCTTACCAATTGCTTTCGACGGGTATGCCGGTATGGGGGTTGATGTGCGGCAATGGCGCCTTGACGATGCATGGAGTGAGGGAGCTTCAGAGCAGGCATGGACCCGGTTCGGGCC